TGTATTTCTTATGTTGTAACACTGTTTGATGTACTTTGTGGTTTCTTTGATTAGTGAAGTGTTCTTATTACTCATTATTTGTATAAATTTAGTATTGTTTGTCATATCTTGGAATCCATATATACAGGATTTGGCTGTTGAATATAGAATGTCTCTGTTGTTTGCATATAAGGTGCATTCTGTTGTGAAATGTTGTTCATCTTCGATTTTGAAACAGTTTTGACAAATTCTGCTTTGTAGTGGTATTTTAGGTTTTCGATGGCGACCAGTTTCAATTTTCAGTTTGTGGCCACTCATTCTAAATCTTGCAAGTTTCCCTATTGCTTTTCTGTCATTGTGTTTTTGTAAATAGGTTTCCTGTTGGATGTTATTTTTGAATAATTTAAAAGTCCTTAGTTTTGAATCAGTACTGTTCATGTTAGACATCCATGTATTTGTATAGTGTTCCTTACATAATTCTTGAAAGTGCTGTTTTTTTTTTTTTTGTATGTCAACAGGTTTGTTGTATGTTTTTTTCAAATCATGTAGTTTTGATATAATATATGATATTTCCTTCAGTAATGCATTGAAAACGTAACGTTAGACGACACAGTCCTGCTCGGAAATACAAGATTTGAAAAGACATATCCGAAGTAAATATTTATAATAATTCGTGTGTTTAGTTCAACATTCTAACTATGCTTTTTACATATTGCTTTACATATAGTCAGTTGAAAGTATAGAGCTTAATGAATATCATACACAGAAACACGATGGTTTGACACTGGTTGATGAAGATGAAGAAGACTTTAACCTCCCAGGAAATCCTTTGACAAAGGTATGTTCATCTTGTAAATGTAAACGCAGCACACTTTCATTTGGTAAAAAAAAAATTTTGAGAAGGAGTACAACAAAACCGTACTAATTAATCTATATTATTGTTTACTCTGTCAGGCAATTGACGATATGGACCAAGTCGTTACCGAATACTGTTCGCAACACAAACGTGTTATCAAGTATATTATACTGTGTATAGTGATTGTGCTTTATTTGGTATATTTCGCATTCGCTATGAAATGCAGTGGTCTAGAAGATGGTCTGGGTTTATTTGTAATGACGATCTGCGCAGTCGTATTCGCTCTCTATAAGTTCATACAGATTCACTGGGGAGCCAAAATATACAAGCTGAGCTGTGGTATAGGTGTAGGTTATGTCAAGAAAAAGTGGATGATTTTTCAATGGTAAGGCGTGTTGATAATGGTACAAGTAGCTTTCAGATTGCGAATTCAAAGTCTTAGCCATTTTACACCATCCTCAATATGGTTATCAGATAAATTAAGCTGATCTGTATTTGTTACTAATGTGGCTATATTTTAGTCCCAAATGACTGCCGAGATCTCGCTGTGAGTGCGAAAACACACGATACTGAACTATGTAACCTTTACATGTAAGATAGGAACAATAAATTTCAATGCCATTTGAATGAATTCGCAATCAATATTATAAAGTAACACTGCATATTACTACCATGTTATTGTTCATGTTTTATATAGGTGTTGATTATTAATTTACGTTTCTTTATATGACCATAGAAAGGGTGACCCGTCTCTAGCTATTGCTATACACGTGACGCCAAAGTTGGAATGCATAATGAAATTACTTTAGCACAATTCAAAGTGTCCGCCATTAATAACTTATTATGTCAGTGTTAATAATCCCATGACTCATTCATAAAGTAAATTTTTACTTCACCGAATGGTAAATATTCTTTTTTTACTCGTACAGGATCGTGCCGCTAGTATTAGTGGCTTTGTTGATAGTGTTTGCAGCGCTGATGGGAGTTTTTCAAACTATGTACAGAAGCCCAGCTCAACTCAAGTCTGCATTTGGAATGGTGGTGCTAATTCTATTTAGTTGGGTCTTCTCCAAATATCCTGGAAGGGTAAGAGCAACTTGAAGACGAGAACAACTCGAAGTATGCACGAAGACAGTATCAACCGACGCACGGCGGAGGTCGATGCGCGGCGTACTGTCTGAGTGCATGTTTTGAGGTATTCTCGTAATAACCTTATTATTATACATCTTTTCCTTCCAAGGATACACCATAGGAATGCCGAAATTCAAAATGTTTAGAACATAATCACTACTTTGTGTGGAGTTCGGTCAAACTCTGGTGGCAGCCATGTTTGTTTTTATTATTAGAGGACCCTTACGTGCGTAATCATTCCATATTTGGAATTCGCATTTCCTAATACGGTAGAATGAAAATACCCCGTAAAATACCACAAAATTACGGCACGCTGTAACTTATGGCGTTACGGTGACAGATGTATATAATAATACACATTTTCATCTGATGTAATATTCATGCCGCTGCATTTATGCTGAAGAAATAAAATGACAAGTTTAGTGTAGGAAAGCCATGGTTTGATTACTCATTAGTGTGAGTAAAGGTCACACAAACAACCAATCATCGCTTGATTTAGACGAAGACACAAGTATCCAATAGTGTCTGTAACAGTCATGCAATTAATCAATGTTTGCGTGATTTCAATTGACATTCGCACGAGTAACTAAGTAAACAATCAATCAATCGCCATTTTGTTTAGGTGACAGCACAGGTGACAAAGAATATATGAGTAAAAGTCAAGCACATAATCAAACAGGTCTAAAATAGTGTCAGTAAAAATTATACATGTGACTAATCGGTTTATTTTATTTTATTTTATTTTCACAGGTACAGTGGAATACAGTATTTTGGGGAATGGGCCTGCAACTTTTCCTGGGAATATTCATTCTGCGGACTACCGTCGGCTTTCAGACTTTCAAATTTCTTGGCGATACATTACAGACATTCCTCGAGTACACAGATGTGGGGTCCATATTCGTCTTCAATGCACCCCTAGAAGTTCATTTCTTTGCATTTAAGGTTAGCTCTGCTTTTAATAACTAATACGTATTATCAATATGAGCATGGTGCGGCAATTATGTATGCTAAGGTTGACAAATAGCAACATATTGAATTCGTCTGAAATGTCAATACACAAACATGTGACCATCTGTAAGATAATATTCGTAGTTATTATTGGATATTGATAAAAAACATTGGGGTTGACTTTTTTTGGCAGGAAACATGTCATTATTTGTTTGATCAAAATTGGTAACGTGCATTGAATATTTCATCGAATGAATACTGCTGTGTTTTACAGACCTAATGTTTTTATCAAGATGCAATATAAAATAAACTATATTGAACTTGCTCAGAATTTGAAGGTTATCTCCATAGCGTCTTCAGAGAAATAACATCTATTCGGTCCAAACTTTATGGCGCCCTCTCGCGTCCCCACTAGGCTATTTGATTCCGATAAACTAGAATCATTGTCGATTTCAAAACACCCGTGTTACCGCCGTTTCTCGTAATCTCGGCATATTATTTAGATTAGCGATTAGATTCTACAAGCATTATCCAGTTACATCTGTTTAGGGAACCAATTTACTGAAATTCCTGTAAAATATGTCTCGCTATTTTGGCAGTTACAATGTGTTCAAAAAAAAGAAAAAAAAATGAACTGAATAAATAAAAAAAAATATGATTGCTAGATTAGGTCATTTGAGTCACTAATCTATTCCGTCATTAGAATTCGTTTATTAGGTTTACTTGTACATGTACTAAATAATGTAAACTCATTAGTGCTCAACCACTGTACATGAATATGTATTGATATATTTGAAGCGGTAATGCTTTTTGTTACTTTTATCATTAGTATCAATTTGTAACGGCTATCGCCGAAATGTGGACACTGAAAACATAGCACATTCGTAACAAACCAACGTTGTACATCAAATCAAGTGCAAATAAAAAAAAGATGGCCGCTGAGTTGCATCTAAGTTTCCAGAGGGCACCATCTATTAAGTCCAGTGAAATTGCGTCTGAAGCAATATTTCGGTTAAATTTGGTCATTTTTATACAAATAAAACGTTTAAAAATCACAGCTGTTACCGCTTTAATTTTTTACATCCCCTCCACTGTACATAATGTATCAATTGAGTTGTCCCAACTTAAAGTGATCAATCATCGTTTAATATACTGAGAACAAATAAGTACACGTTTCTTTTGTTTTCTAAGGTTTTGCCAGTGATCATCTTCGCTAGCTTTAACGTGGCAATACTTCAATATACTGGTATCTTAACATGGATTGTTAAAGTATGTGCCTGGATTATGCAGTATACGATGGGGATATCTGGGGTAGAGGCCATTTCCGCTGCGGCAAACGTATTTCTTGGTATGGTGAGTTGTATTCATACGTATATCACATGCGGCGTGTACACTGAGCAACTTGTCCTCCAATGAACTGGCCCCGGTTTGTGTCATATGCGTTGTTTTCCGCCCACAGTGTTGAAACCCACTGCTGGTATAACCGACCTCCAAGTAGCAATTGCGGGACCGATTGGTTAAAACCACGGTAAAACCACGTTAAAATGTGACACATACAACACATACAAACACAAAACTATGTTGCCCGTAGCTCGAAGTTCTGCTAACTGAAATCTGATTAAAATAAAATCCTAGTTTTGGTTTTTTTTTGTATATTTATTTCATTTTATTCTAGTATTTATGTAGGGCGGAATTACAAAAAAAAAATCACAAAATCAAAATCAAAGTAAAATAATAAAATAAAAAGGCATTAATAACAAAAGTGATAAAAAATTAAAATAAGTTTATAGCCAAAATAATTAAAGGCCGTACACTACATCAGATTTTAATCAGATTGTGCTAACTGTAAAGTGAACATCGAGGTAAAGTCTTGACGTGGCTTCATAAAAGTGGGCGTGGTTTCTAAACTATTTTGTAACTAGATGTTCATAACTAGAACTATTCAGCTTCAGTACGTGGTTATATATGTTTTGAGTCGCGTTAAGTTGAATAAAATGTAATTGTTATTCTGATGCACATTGGCAATATCTCTCAGCATTGTTCATCCAAAGCGAGCACTCGACACCGTTCGAATGTATTGACTCCACTGAATATCTGACATCTTGACCAATGAAATTCGGAAAGTGACCTCCCGAGGTCTTGGTTGATACTACTATTAGACTGATCCATCGTGTATGTGTTTATCGTAGTGAGAGAGGATATAAACAAGATGGAGAGCAAATCCAAGATTACCGAGATGACAACAAAAAAATCGTCACAGAAATATAAAAAAATGAGTCATACGCAAAAAAGCACAGCGAGTTATACCTACTTTTTGCGACACTTTCACAAATTTCATTATGTATTCATTTATGTTTTCAGACCACAGTTCCAATTATGGTCAAGCCATACTTGAAAGACATGACGTCATCGGAGCTCCATTGCCTTATAACTGGTGGGTTTGCGACAATCGCGGGAAGTGTGCTAGGTGCTTACATAAGCTTTGGTATCAGTGCCGCTCATCTTCTGTCAGCTTCCGTGATATCAGCACCTGCTGCTATAGCCGTGTCCAAGATATTCTATCCAGAGACAAAGAGGCCAAAAACCCTGAAAAGCGATTTTGAATTTCAAATGCCGTGAGTACTAATGTTTACTTATTTATAGATAAGTGATAAAAGTTTGTTGACCCAACATTAAACCGACCACATACACAACGGAACAAGATAATTTCGAAGATGAAGAAAAGTTAAAAATTATCACAGTGTAAAATATCCTTTGGGTAACATTTTTCGACATCAATATGTTTCCTAATACGGCATATCAAAATGGAAACGTTAAGGCGATGATGCAATAGCGAGATTGGAGTCCACCATGGCTCAAAGACAGACCCCCCCCCCCCCAAATGCTGTGATGATAACTGAACACTATAACTAAATTCTATACGTATGTTTACTTTTGCTATAGCCAAGAGAAGAACATAATGGAGGCAATGGCAAATGCAGTACAAGATGGCCTCAAAATATGCGCTGCTGTAGCCGCACAACTAATAGCAATTATTGCAGAACTTGCATTTCTCGACGCTGTCCTTGCTTGGTTGGGTGCGTTGGTGAACTACCCTGAACTAACTTTTTCAGTGAGTACTCGTCTCTTCTTTAAATACCTGTTTACAATACTTAGAAACATGTTAAACCGGATGTCTTTTGATAAATATATGAAAAAAAAACACCTACGAAAATGAACAGATACATATTAAAATGTGTCTCAATGTGGCATACCCGTGTGTTCCCAAATCAGCTCTATTAGCTGTTAATTTATGTATTTTCTAACAGATGACGTAATTAAGCTTCAATGAAAAGGAAATATAAACTCATTTCAATTACATATTCTTATATTTTTTGAGAAATAATATTTGGAGGGGAGTTGCTGAAAAATTCGAAAAAATAACGTTTAAATTGATTACCATATTCATATTACTGAATTCATTATCAATCGAGAGGTGAGAAGTACAAAGAAAACAGATCTATATGAAGTAAAGATAGATCCAAAAGTATAATACCTTCATTGGTATTCACCTAACATTGCTCTTTGTAGCTTATTTGTAGGTATTTACTCTATCCCACGTCTTGGCTCATGGGAGTCGATACACACGCCGATTGCCATACTGTTGCTGAGTTGGTCGGAACGAAAACTTTTGCCAACGAGTTCGTGGCATATGGCGATTTGAGTGTTCTTATTAAAAACAGAGAAACAGGACTAGGACCGACTCTAACGGTAAGTTGCGCTGTTCTACATTCGAGTAAGTAGTCATGACCTTCAGTGGCAATTAGTCGTCAATTTCGGGATACTATGACAAACTGTACGGCATACAGGAACGTGAAATATCGAGTTTGTATTTAAAATACACTGTGTGAGAAGAATACCGAGGTAAAAACATTTCTGTTGATTTTTTTGCATTTATTTGCATTAACTATTGATTACCCAGCAGTTGCAGATGATATAACAAATACGTGCATATCAGGTATCTCGTTTGAGGGCCGGTAAAGGTTTTTGTCAGTACACATACCATGTACCGAAATTACATTGGCTGTATTAAATGAATACATAATACTTGACCAAAGTTGTTCGAACACAAATTATCCCGTTTTCGCCATGCTTTATCATAAATGTATGCCATGCTACCTGTATCATTTAGTACTATATGTTTTAGTCCATATCATAGATTACAAAATATAAAACAACTTTATGATCACGTTATTATCTCGGCTAATACCAGACGTACTGTACGTCTTTCAGGTGCGATCGGAGGTCATTGCCACATATGCCTTGTGTGGATTTTCGAACCTGGGAAGTATCGGTGTAATGATTGGTTCATTCGGACCTATAGCAAGTGACAGGAAAGCTGAAGTAGCTATACTGTGTTTGCGAGCGATTGTTGCTGCCACAGTGGCATGCCTTCTAACTGGATGCATTGCTGGTACGTAAAAAAGGCTATAGAACACATAATTACTAATGATCCACGTGCTTCTATTAACCGGTATGAATATTCATATTGTTCCCACACGTGGCGATGAATCTTATATTTGAATTAGTGCAAGAACGCATAAATAACTCTGCAAGAAACATATTGTGGTCGTTTAGATAAAATGATACTATTTACATAGTTTACAATTTCGAATAAATATAAATCAAGAGAATGGTATTAATTTCAACTTGAGCATCAGATAGTTTGTGCCGGTCATTCTCAAGTAGTGTGTAAATCCTGCTCACAGGAGTGGTCTTTACAAAATTATAATGGAGAAGTTATCTTATTTTTAAAAAAGTTAAAATTAGGAAGTAATGTTCATTAAGAAATTATAGTCATAAAGTGGTCTTTGTTACGAAGTCAGTCATGATAGCAGTATTTAATCAGGAAGTAAGGTACAGGCAGACGTAAACATGCATTGAAGTGTAAAGAGGACTAAATCTAAATCTGCGTTTATTTCGTTCGTTTTCTACAGGTCTGCTGTACGATGAAGGTCCGCGCTTATATGTGCCTGACTCTCTTGTTGGAAATATGACGACCGCAGTTTACTGAAGCATCGACCCCTCAGATCATCAACGTACGTGAATTTGCACACGCGGCAGAACACAAAAACCAATCCTCATTATTCAGACATAAGTTTTTATCTTCGCCCAATGAACCACTAGATACAGTTTACTTCGAACACTGGTCATAAAATGCCATGATGACATAAATGTGCATATGGAAACAAACAAAAACCAAGCATATTTCTGTTTCAAATAATCAGTGAATTGCTCTATATAATTACATGTCATCCCATATACATGTAGATCAAAACCATATCGTCTCTGGGCGGCTATTCACCCATTAACATCACATAATCGCTCCATTGCTAGAAGATTTGAAACTGCAAATAACTCATCTCGGAGTCCATGAGAGTTAATTAATTTGTGCAAAGTTTGTAATGATTCGTTGTATTTTGCTTTTATCATGTGGCGGCGATTGTTGATTAATTTGCAATCTAAGCCTCGCTTTCAGGTTCTCTGTCTGCAACAACGCGATACAATCCATCAATGCGAAAGCGAGACATGGGACGCAAATAATCAGCAGTGCCCAGCACGTGATAAGACCAAATTAAGATGGTAACCTGCTCACGTATAGTTTTCAGGAAACCATTTATTTTTTTTGGGGGGGGGGGGAAAGGAAATAATAGCTTTAATTTACTCAACATACTAACCCCCAAAGTGTTTAATATATGTGGAATTTAAAAAAATCAAAGTAGAGGGCGTGCCCCAAATGCAGAAACATTACGTGTTTCAGGTCTGGGTTGGGGTCTCTGGGGTGGGAAATGGGTAGTTGTGAAAAAGTTTAGGTTGTTTAACATATATTTTGGGTGCAATTACTAATTTGCGTAATGGTGTGTTTACGAATTAAAATAAATTCGACAAAAAGTTGTGTTATTGTCACATTTTTTAACATATATGCATATAATTGGTGTCATCATTTTGTTTGTAAAAACTTGTTCTATCCATATTGACAGCAGTGATGATAATATTTAGCCAGATTTTGTTTTCATTGAAAAATCTCTTTTTTAATGATTTTTGCTTCAATTTCCGGTACAGCATGGTATTAGTGTCAAAAAAATCCCGAATTTGGAATATATAATCAGGTCACAATCCCCATAAAACAATCTCTGACTATCTTTGGTTGTACTGAAACCCCATCCTGCTATAATTTGTATAAATATATGTGTTGTTTATTTGCGATCATTGGTGCTATACTAAATAAATTACAGTGTTTCATAAGTCTCTTTCTATGATATTTATGTATGCATATCAATATGATTACACGATTATATAGTAATAACAATGAAATGTCTATGCCAACAAAATATAGTCCTATTCAATGCTGCATGGCAGTAGTGATCGTGTGATTGACAAATGGTACTGTTGTAAAGCCGATTATTTCTAGAGAAGCTCCCTTTCTCTAATTAAATGTTTTTCTTAGTCACCATCTGAATTGTATGCATCATCTATCACCTGAAAGCTCATCATCTGACTGTTCTGTGAGATACTGTTTGACATTGCTGCAAAAGGTATCTAATTTACAACATGAGCATACTTCTGTGCATAACAGACCAGAAGTAACGCAGTGGCATTTTCTTGCAATGGTGCAGTTGTCATCTGTGCAGTAAAGATGAGTGAGATTCCTAATGGTGCTGCTTCCACCCACTACCTTCTGGGTTCCAAATTTCTGGTTGAGCCTGGTGACTTTTTGTCCAGATGGCAACCTGGTATTTGGCACGCATGACATGTTGATTGAATGCGTCCTCTGTAGGTGGGAAAGATGAAGCTGGCTTGTCTGTTTGAGTGGCAAAATGGTATCGTAGCTCATCTAGAGTGGTGCATTCATGGACTCTCTTCTTTCCTTTGTGAAGGGCAATTACAAACTTACGTGCAGTTGATATACACAAAAGGTTCTCTACATCTGTGGTCTGGTATTCATGATCATTTTGGCCTGCTTTTCATCTGTGAAACCACAGGCCAGGGTAATGCTCTGGTTTCCTGTTAAGACTGTGGGGGCTTATTCCATAAAATATAAGCTGCAATTGCTGCTTTATAGCGAGAAATTTTCAAGAATTTTCGGTAATACGGCACAACTCGGCTAGCTGTGATAATATGACTAGCAGCTTCAACAGCCCCACGACGAACTCTCTTTCCTGGCGCTTGATGGAGTTTGGGGCATCATGACGATCAAACACAACCACAACGTCCTCAACTCCCATTCAAAGTAGTATAACTCTCTGTAGCAGTAGCGAGCCAGGTCTTCAAATGTTCGGAACTGAAACTCGTGCTGACCCTGTAGCAATGCCATTCCATCAAATATGTAGGCACTAGGCCGTAGATCCTTCAAACTGGGATAAGGCTTGCACGTCATGAATATGTAACACTAACTTCATGGCAAGGTTGGCCTTGGTGCTTTTTTGCATGTTGCCATCATCATGGAACAATGAAGGGGGTACTGCCGCTAGTTCATGTTGTAGTACTGTCTACAAATCCACATCACGTTGTTTGGATACTGCCAGAAGCCATCGATCTATCATCAGTTTGGTCGACTTGTCCCCTTACAGTGACGTATGCATGTCTGTAAATGTTAGTACCTTAGTGCGGGTTTCTGGATCCCAAAAACTGGTCGATCTGGTACCTTTCATTTCACAAATCTGTGTGCTTGTTTTGTCCCAACTCTATGAAGTTACTGAGACTCTGTATCACCTCTACTGAAGCTACTTGGCCAGTTATAATATTGATGAGCATGGAAGAAACAGTAATGTAATGTAATGTAACCCATGTAATCATACCGACATCAACAGAAGAGACGGTACGGAAGACGATAATTTAGCACTTTAGCTATGGTCATTTAAACTATATTACCATATTAACACAAATATACAAATTATAGCAGAATGGAGTCTCAGTACAACAAGAGATAATCAGGAATGTGACCTGATTATATATTCAGAATTCGAGATCTTTTTGATAATAAAAAAAAAAAAAAAAAAAAAAACCTGAAAAAAAGTTATTCAGTGAAAAAATCTAGCTAAATATTATCAATGACGCTGTGGAAAGAACAAGGTTTTACAGACAAAATGATACCAAATATATGCATATATGTTAAAGAATAACACAATTTTTCGTCAAATTTATATCTCAATTCGTAAACACGCCATTACGAAAATTTGAAATTGCACCTAAAATATATGTTAAACAACCTAATTTTTTTCACAACCAACCATTTCCCACCACATAGACCCCAATGCAATGAGAAAACATGATTATGAATTGTTATACCATGGGGAGGGGTTACTCCTTTTTTCCGAGCCCTTTTATCAGAATAGCCACAGCACTATATTGTATTAATAATATATAGGTCATCCATCACATGTCAAAAAAATAGTACATTTATGGGGCTATTTTGTTGACAAGAATTTACTTGCAATTATAGGTTTATATTATCGTGTGAAACTAGTAATATAAAGCTATAAACTATGACGCCATACAATCTCTGATAGTGTTTATGTATAACCCGCAATAATGGACAGTGCGGAGTCTTTTATTTCAATTATAATACCCAAATAAACGTCTGGAAAATGAATATTTGTTTAGTGGTAGCTTGATGACAAAACAGCCATTAACTTGAAAGTATGACTTCAGTGTAGACCCTCCGAGAACAGAAACATATCGAGTCGAACAATGAATATCATGAATGCAGTATATTGACCTTTCAAGTAATGTACATTTACTGAAATTAAATGCTAATTAAACTATTTTAATAAGGGAACAAAAATCTCAGTCTGTGTTCGGTTCACGTGGTAAGAACCCTCTGTATCGGTTATTGTGCACCTCGCATTTTTTTCTCGAAAAACGTGAAATGTTCATGGCACAGGGACTTTCTGTGTCAAATAACAATCTGTATTCAGTCAAATGTCCAATTGTGAACATAAATTTGATTTTGGAATCATTGTTTATTTTGGAATTATTTACTCTTGTAAATTTACTATAAGAAATTGTTTTATAACGATTTTGGAACATTGTTCTCCAGGGGCACAATGCAAGTTCTATACGACGTGAATGGAATTCCATTTGAACTATAACTATATAACTATAACTGTTATTCTTAAAGGATCCTATAGGAATCCTATTCAAAGTGTTATAGTAATCTTAACAAATCTGAAACTACAGTGTTACAAAATGCTAGTTAGACATGTTTTTTTTTTAACATCGCGTTTAGTTATTAACTACTTCCTGTTCAACATCAAATCACATGAAATTATCCTTTATGAAGCTGAAAGAATACCATAATACAGCACAAAGTCAAACGTAAGGTTAAAAAATGCCTGCACTGCAAACATCATATAAGAAAAGAACCTTATCATTGAAAGCATATAAATACAAACTTTCTATGAGAATACGACATATTGTTACTTAGTTTCCCACAGTTGTGTATATCCCTACCCACCAGATCATATAACACAACCCTCTGTTTATTTCAACAACTATACAATATCGATCAATATCAGCTGATGATGATATTATATAGTGTATAATGAATGAATAAATTGATTGATTATATAATTAAGTATTTAATCAATCGATCAATCAATTAGGATGCATGATCTTAAGAACCTACATAGATTCGTATGTGCTGGACGTTACCAAAAGTGTTTTCTTTATATTTGAATGAAGCGCGAGGATCTTCCGGGGTGAATGTTTTAAATATTTTATAAATGTCTATTAAACACATTTTATGAAATGCACAGTAGCTACGCGTTATTATGAAATTGTTAAAAGGCTAATAAACTATTGCTCGATTTCCTGTCTCTGCCCTCGTGTATGCGCTTGTCATTTCTATTTGTCATACTGCCCTCGACGATATTTAGTATAACAGAAAGGGATAAGCGACTCACCGGAACAGGAGCCATTGGCAAAGTACTGGAACCGAGTCAAAGAAAAATAATGACTGTGCACTTCATGTGAATCATTTGCTTCATGCATTTTATCGTTTCGATGTATTCCGCCAACATATGGTAATACCATGAAGAATACTGTGAGTTATTATCATGATAACCAGCCACTCTTTCTAACTACCAGTATTTAAAGCAGTAAAAAGATGAAAAATATGGATCATTTATGATTTCGAAACATTATACTTCATAATTTATTTATCATAGACCCATATTTACAATGAATAATGCATTCAGTGCGTAATTTCAAATTATTTTCCCCAAACACAGTTAAAGCGGGAGGGTCTTCACCTGCGCACGCGCGGGTTTTGAGTCCCAAGCGACGATAACAACACACGCTAAAAACTTAAAGGCTCATGGGTGGATGATTGTTTTTAAACAATGACACGCTATGGCCATCTGACGCATGCACAGGTGACGACTCCCCCATT